GGGTTTCACCATGTTGACCAGGATGGTCTCGATCTCTTGACCTCGTGATCCACCCGCCTCGGCCTCCCAAAGTGCTGGGATTACAGGCTTGAGCCACCGCGCCCGGCTCGGGTTTGCACTTTTAATTAGACGTATTGATTTTTGGATCCAACCTGGCTAAGAGGGTCTTAACATTCCCCGCAGCTTGAATAAACTTTAGACAAGCTAAACTTAACTAAATAAACAAACTAAACAGGCTTCCTCCTGCCTCTTAGGCCTTTCTTCCTTTTTATTAAAGCATTTTATTTAGACAAATTTTCATTGTAAATTTTTTATCAGCCCCTTTGAGATGTAAATCTTTTTAAAAGCTTCTTGATAGTTTTACATCCCCGGACAGTCTTTCTCAAAGACCTGGAAGCCATCCCTTTGAAATGTAATCATCAAGAAAGACAGTATCCCTATCAACCAGTTCTGTGGAAGGTAGGAGCCTAACCTAGGCAGGCACCTTGCTTAAAGTGCTAAAAAGTTATTACAGCTTACTATTAATTATTATAATAGTACATACTTATAAATTCTACATTAATTGTTTATTTCTATTAAGCCTTATAAAAACTTAGGCTATTATTTCATAAAATATTACAGTTCAACAACTCATCTCAATTTCCCTGAGCCTTTTTGCTCTTACAATTGAGAGCATTTGAGAAAATAAAAGGACAATCCATCATCCATAATGTCATAATCCTACAAGCTATTTTTTCTATTATCCTTTTTTTCATAAACATGTATAATTTTAACTGAAAAAATGTAAAGTAAAACAAGAAAAATACGCTCTAGTTTGGAATATTAGCAAATGAGCAAAATGAAAAGTCCTGGAAACTACCTAGAGATATAAATCATCGTGCATGTGTTCATTTCTATAAACAGATGGAGCATCATCCAGTTTCCCAGTAGCCTACAAAGTGCCTGGTGCAGCAGCTTTGAAACTGTATTCCCTTAGCAGGGGTCTCGGACAGGTCTTCTGGGTCTCTTAGGGCAAGAGAGGAAAGGGGAATTGAGTGGCTGAGACAGGGAAGTGGGAAACGACTATATTAAGGCAACTTCACTGTTGGATGTCTTGCTTAAGGCTTCCTCCTAAGATATTTTTAAACAGGAGAGTGTCTATTATTACTGAAATAAAAGAGTGAGCGTATAGTTTTTAAAAGTATAAAAGCAGCATTCTAAATATAGAGCAACAGCCTAAAGCAGCACACATTCTTTAAAGTTTAAAATAAATAGTGCAGTTCAGAGAAAAAAAAAAGTAGGGCTAGGGTTATGGTTAGGGTTCAAAAAAAAAACCACAAAATAAGCAAAATAAATGTCAATCAAGAAAATACAATCATGGCATAGTGTGTACCACAGTACTCTAAATAGGTTATTATAGAACAAAATGTTCCAGTTTCTCACTATCCTCACCTCATAAGGCCTCTGCAGAGCTTATCCGAGGGCCTGCAGATGTTAGAAGGCAGAGGAGGCTGCGGAGGCAAGTCCCAGGCCCTCTACAACCTCATCTCACACTTGAGGATATTTCAGAGACTGGGAGGAGGGAAGGAATATTCAAACTTCATAGAAGTGGGCCCACCAGAAGGTGGCACCAAAGAAACTCAAAGACGGAGAGAATTAGGTAAACTGGATAGGACAAAGACACAAATAAATTTGGATTTGATCCAATCTAAGAGCTTTGGACTCAGGATGAGGCAAGAATGAACCTGGGTTGGATGGGTGTGTGTGTGTGTGTGTGTGTGTGTGTGTGTGTCTGTGTGTCTGTGTCTGTAGGTGGGTTTCATCATCCTGTCTGAGCTATTGAATCAATAGTTTTAAAAGTTCTGAATGAACTGAATTATTGCATCAATCTCATCTTTACATATTAACTGCTCTTAATTGCAAACTGCTACTTCTGATTTCTTCCATCTTTCCTCTTCCTTCATCTCATTTCTTCACATCCATTCCTTTTCAACACTCAGGTGCTGGTCAGTATGTTGTATTTCCCATTAATATCTACCCTGCAGCCACAATACATATGCACACACTTACACACAATTGCACCCTGATGGCCTCTGCTCAGGTCAGCAGGCAGGGGACAAAACTAAGTAACAGAATGACGCTTCCCCTCTGTCTTCCTAGTGCTCCAATCTCATTTGGACATCATAGCTTTAGAAAAGGTTGGAATTTCAAACAAAATGGACTTTACCCAACATATCAAAAAAGCAATTGATTTTAATATAATACAAAATAATACTTTAGGTGCCAGCACCACAATTAGATTGTGTTATAAAAACACAGGAATCAGAAGTTTTTATTTCCAACCAACCAAATAAATTGGCATCAAGCTAGTTTTTCCTTTGCAGGGGAACAAACAAAGACAGAGGCAATTAAATACTGTCCATAGGACTCACAGAAAAACTGAAAGCCTCAAAAGCAAGCCTTCTGTTTCTAAGTCTGTGGTATCATTCTCCTCCTGGGAGCCCCAAATATCTGTGAACTCCCTCCTCCACTCCCGGTTACAACATCCAAAAGTGAGTTTACTCAAAGAGCATTTGTGTAGAACGTTCACTACCTGTTTGGGGAGGAGAATATAAAGAATAAACTCCATAATCTCTGACGAGAAGCTCACACCCTGGAGAAGACACATATAGAAATGTGTAGTTCAAGCCAGTCACGTGCTCTGTAACAGGATAATTTTCCAAGTGCTAAGGAAGCCCTCAGAAAAGCAAAAACAAACAAACAAACAAAAACTCTATAGAAGCCTGGGAAGACTTTCCAGAGAAGCTGGCTTTAAAAGCTGGGCAGGCATTCTGTAGGTGGTGAAAGGGGGGTGCAAATTTTAGGCTGAGGAATTAGCAGGTGCCAAGAGCGTGGCAGGAAGACAAAGGGCATGGTTTTTGCGGAGCCCATGGGGTGGGTCTCCAGGGTTTCCTGTGAGCCACGTGGTAGTGAGACAGGATGGACCCCTTATGCCACATTTAGGAGTCTGAACTTGAGATTACGGTCTGGAAAGCCATGCATGGTTTTTAAACAAACATCTCATGTGAGTGCACTGGGGCTTTAGAAAGATGACTTGCTTCAGTATTTGGTCTGAAAAGAGGCTGGGGAACTGGCAGGCAGGCCACCACCATGGGTCAGGGACTGCTAACCGCAGACAGATTGTCTGCGATAGAGAAGCGGGGGCTGGGATTGCCTGGCAGACCGACTGCTCACATAGGAATAGAGCACAGGAAGGCCAAGTCCCGAGGTGCCTAGCCGTTATAAATTCATATTCAGGATGAGTCATGAACCATTGGAATTTTACATGAGGAGTCAGGCCGGAATGGGAATATGACACGTTCCATGTGAGATGCGTGGAACACACCATACGAGGTGAACCTGTAACAAAGACAGTCAAGGATGTTTGTAAACAGGGACTGGGGATGAGTAGACAGTCTAGAGCCAAAGACCCGGAGCCACCAGCATACCGATTCCAAGGTTCCATGACAATGGATGAAAGAACGCAGAACATCTAGTGGGGGCACCAGGGAAGAAATCCACCTGTTTCTCGGGAATTTCCAATATCTGGTGGTAGTAAACGGAAGAGAGAGAGGAGGACGAGGGAAAGAGAGAGACTGCGACCCAGCCATCTGAGTGTACTGGGAGAACTTGGAGGACGCGCCTGCGCCTCCGAGGGGCCGGCCTAGGCAAGCCTGAGGCAGGGAAGCGGGAGGACCGGGGAGCAGCCCTGGGTGAGGCCGTTTGGAATGGGGAGGTCTTAGGCCGGAGCGGCAGCCCCAGGACTGAGGGTGTCTGCAAAGTGGGGAATTGGTTAAAGTAACGCCTGTGGCTGCCACTAGTAGGTAAAAAAGCACCTCCCCTCTTCCCATTTGAGAGGAGGCAGCCAATGAAGAAGAGAATATGAAAGCTGCAGAAAGGTGAAGGGAGGGGTGGAAAGAACGGAGGGAGGGAACGGGGAGGAGGAGAAGGTGCAGCGGATAGGCTGTAAGCACAGGGGCAGGCGTGGGTGCCGGGGGAGCAGGGACGCAGCGCCTCCCCGACCTGCCCCGCGCGCCGCGGAAATTCCAGGCCGGGCCTCCCGCGCTCCCGGAGCCTCCTCCGCAGCCGCGGCTCCTCCCACTCCCGTCCCCGGGATCCCGCCCGAGCTTCCGGCGCTTCCAAACACACGGCCCGCGTCACCCGCCGCGCCCGCCCGGCAGCAAATCACAGCGCAGCAAATCGCAGTCCGAGCAACAGACGCTCCCTCTCCCCGCGCTGCTTAAGAGTCAGGGCGGGTCTGCGCGCTGCGGACTTCGGGGCTTCGCGGGGGGTCTCGCGGTGGCGCTTGGGACCCCGGCCGGTGCCCCGGCGACCCCCACAGCCCCGCAACTCTCTTTCCCGGCCGCTCCCCGCAGTCATTTTCCTAGTTCCTGCCCGCCTTTGCCTTGCTCTGGCTCCTGCCCCTAGCCTTCCTCCCGCCCCGCTCTCTCCTACGCTCCAGGGAAGACGGGACCCCCGTGGGAACCTGGGCACCTGCGTGCCTGCCCCGCCCGGTACCTAGGAGAGGCCCCCAATTCCTGCCGCTGCTGGTGCTGCCGCCGCCCGCCGCTGCCGCCGCTTCGACTATTCCTGCTTTGTAGATGCTTCGTCCGCCTTGGTTGAGGGCAGGGCTTCCGGCAGGTGACTCAACCTTCCCTGTGCCGGCCTGTGCAATCCCGGACTCCTAATCCGAGGCTGAGCCCGCTGGCCTGTGTGGATGTCTGTGGGTACTGGAGAGAGGGTCTGTCTGTCCCTGGTCCTCGGAGGGTCGTTGTGGAAGGCTTTGCTCAATAGGAGATTGGTTTGTTTTCCTGGGTTACTATGTTCAGTATTCGTGTTTCCGGTGTGTGTGTGCAAGAGCACTCGCAAAGTGAGGACTTAACTTTGAAAATTAACTAAGGGCAAAACGAGAGGGTTAAAATTGCTAACGTCAGCAGTTTCCAAGCTGTTTTGGCGTGACACCCATCAACACAAGTTTTGACACTCATCCCAATGGATCTCTATGAATTTATACCTAATAATGTGCTCAATACTAATGTATTCTAAATGCTATAAAGCATATAAATAAATTTAAATTTGGATTGGTAGCTATCATGGGGAAAAGGTCTCAGGAGGGAAATGGACTGATTTAAATGGAGTAGACAACATTGGTTCTACTTATTAAACCTTGACATTTGATTTTCAGTCTATATACGAATCACTCAAAGGTATGTGATTGGAATCCAATTAGTAATAATCTATCCTCTTGAAGTCAGTTTTTTAAAATAATTTAATTTTTATCATTTCAACAGTTTGAAGCCCACCGAACCTATCCTTTTTGGAAGATTTTTATGAAGGTTAGAAACCTACATTTCCAAGTTTTTAAAGTGTTCTTATATGAGAATGTTAACATTTTTAAATAACAAAGTCATACAATTATGGAAAAATATCCCAAGAGGGGTTCTCAAAATGATGACCGTAGACACTTTTAAAAAACAGTTAATTTTTCATTCATGGAAAAGATGGACATTTACCTGAAAGACATTCAATTGTATTTTTTTCAGAAACATTTGCTAGGTGTTCCACTACTGACAACAGCTTATCATCGCAGAAAAGGTCAGCACAGGAGGGAAGAGTAGCCTTTACAAAAGAAAAAAAAAATGCAAATATGTAATTAATTCTTTTTTTAAAGTACACTTATATGAGATAAAAAGCAAGTCAGCATTTTTGAAAAGACTGATGGCTGCTTTCCTGCTTATTACAAAATATTATAAAAGTTCTGCTATTTAACATCCTAGGTTTTTGTTTTTTAAAACTGCAGTGATACCATCTGGTCGCAAGCATTCCTTGCAATATCTCGCTGAAAGCAAAGACACAAGAATGCTTCTCTCAACCCTATATTTTATGAAACATGCTTCTCAGTGTCTGTGTAGAGGTTCAAAGAGCCAAGTTTCAATTCAAACTCAGTTATCCCAGATATCAAAGTCTGTGCTGCTCTGCTTCCAGATGGGAACTGGACAGGCTAAATAGGAGTCAGTGATAAACATGGACACTCAAGTTTAGAGCCTCACAGAACAATTTTGAAAAGTAATCCTTGCCTCTTCAGGTTTATATTAGACCCCTACTATTTAAAGCGTTCTTACTCTAGAAAGTCTTTCAAAAATCTCAGCCCTAACATGTCTTTGACTGAACATGATTGGGATAAAGAGTACACGGATTCGTTCTCAGGGTCTCAAGGCAAGTGGTGGTGAAGGGAAGGTCTTAATCTGAAACATCCGTATCTCCAGGGTTTTCACTCTACTCCCAGTATGCAGGAGTAGCCAACTGTCCACTTGACTAGGCCTAGCTTATCCTAACCATCTGTTTTGTTGTAGTAGTAGTAGTAGTTGTTGTTGTTGTTGTTGTTGCTGTTTTTAAATTGAGACGGAGTCTTGCTCTGTCACTAGGCTGGAGTGCAGTGGTGCAATCTCAGCTCACTGCAACTTCCACCTCCTGCTAACTCTCTGTTTTAAGGAAGGAAGTAGACCTCCTCCTTCCCAGGACATAAGTATATGAATTACCTTCACTCCTGCATCCTTAATCTCTTCACTGTTTTGCAAAGTCTTAGGGTGCAAATATGCTTTCACAGTCTTTTTTTTTTTTTGAGACAGGCTCTGTTGCCGGGCTGGAGTGCAGTGACGCAATCTCGGCTCACTACAACCTCCACCTCCTGGGCTCAAGCAATTCCCCTGCCTCAGCCTCCCGAGTAGCTGGGACTGCAGGTGCCTGCCACCACACCCAGCTAATTTTTGTATTTTTAGTAAAGACAGGGTTTCATCATGTTGACCAGGATGGTCTCGATCTCTTGACCTCATGATCTGCCCACCTTGACTTCCTAAAGTGCTGGGATTACAGGCCTGAGCCACTGCACCCCGACCCATTTTTTTTTAATAAAAAGTGTACACACACTGGGGTATGTTGGGGGACAGGAGGCTAGGGGAGGGACAGTGGGGGTTGGGGAGGTTGTGGAGGGATAACACTGGGAGAAATGCCTGATGTAGGTGACGGGGAGATAGAGACAGCAAACCACCATGGTATGTGTGTACCTGTTCAACAGTCCTGCAAGATCTGCACATGTACCCGAGAACTTAAAAGTACAATTTTAAAAATTCACATCTGCAAAAAAAAAAAAAAATTGAATTATTTAAAAAAGTTCTGTTATCATTAAATAGCCAAAAATACATTAAACTTTCCCTTAAAAAGTGTACTCATAGACTGTTGTCCTTTTATCAACATTGATTCACTTTGACTCCATTGCAGTTAGACGTCCATCCAAACATTTTCCGAAAGTGCAGCTGATAAGGACACTAATTGTCTTCTAATTGCCTTGGCCAGAAGATATGTCCCAGGTCTTATTTCATTTGTTTGTTGGCGACCTTTAGCCCTTTCCTGTTTGACCTTTCCAGGCTATCCAGAGCACCCTTCCCTTCTTTCCTGAATCCTTTGCTTGGTATCCAGATTCCTTTCCTCCCATTCTAAACCCTCTTCTTTTCACTATAACATGATCTTCTTGTATGACCTCCCCTATGTCCACAGGTTCATATTTCAACTGTTAACTTATTTCTTCAAAATCTCTAACCTGTCTCTTGAGCCATAGATGTTACCTGTGTACCACTGGACATCTCTCAGAAACCTGGGTTTGTCCCTCCCCAGTTCTCTTAACTAAATGATCAAAAGTCCTGTTATTTCTTTCCATACTCTCTGCCATCCATACTCTCTCTCCCGCCTCTGTCATGTCTAATGTCTCTCCTACACCATTAATTTCCCTGCCTTCAGTTCTGATCCATGCCAACCTATTGTCTACTCTGAAGTTCAAGTAAACATTTCAATTCTAATTATTTTATACCTCAGTTTGAAGTCCTTTATAACCTCTTATCCAAAAAAAAAAAATTATAAACTATTGAGCAAGGACTTAAGCCTCTTAAAGTCTTGATTTCTCTCTTCTTTTCTTTAGAGCCATAATAAAGTATTTACATTCCTTCACATCCTGTACTCATATACATGGGATTCCTGGCATGCAAGCTTGTCTTTCAAAATTCAGTTCAAATAATGTCTCCTGCAGGATGCTTTCACAGAGCTCTCCAGTTTTGGAATTCTGCTTTTAAAGATCCACATTCCCACTCTGCACCCCAAACCAGTGAAGTAAAGATATCTTGGGGGAGGGAACCAGGCAGCAGTATTTGTAAAGCTCACTTGGTGATTTCCCTGTGGACTCTCCTCAATAATTCTTGGTGCAGGATTTACCCCTGTCTTTTCTCCATGGCTTTGAAACCCTCTCTAGTGGCTACAGACTAACATTTGAACTGTGTGCAAACTTACCTGCTCTGCCAGTTGAAAATGCCAAGGTCACTTTTCCCTTATGCATCAATTTCTCCTTGTTGATCAGTACTAGACTCAGACTTTGGGCCACACTTGATCCATCCACTCCGTTTCCTCTGACCAGCAAAACAGATTAAAAGATGAAAAATGATTTTTTCCTTCATGAAACTTCCAACAAATGCTTGTTGGTTTGAAGTCCTTTACGAAGGACATAATATGGTCACTGAGAGTTTGGTTGTAAACATGAATATCCCATACAGGAAACACAGTGCATGCAGGTGCAGAGGGGCACAAGATGGCACCATGATTTTGGAAAACCATGATATATCTTGCAGTGGTACAGATAGCGGGAGTGAGGCACTGCAAGAGAGTGTCTGATATGTCCACAGAGCCACGTCATGAAGGGCCATGTCGAATGTGTTGGTGGGGTTTCTTCGTTACCTTGTAGACTATGGGGAAACACGAGGATTTTAAGCTGGGGAGAAATGTAGTCATATTTGTATTTACAAAGGTCCCCCTGGCTGCATCATGGAGTATATGGCAGGAGGCTACCATTGCCTGCAGTGAGGTGTTAGGGACACAGCATGGTTGAGAGATGAAGCAAGCTGAAATGTGTGGATAACCCCCCATAGAGTACCTAGGAAGGAGAGCTCAGCAGAATCCTGGCACAATTAAGGCCCGAAGAATATCTCAGTTTATAGTGTTACTACTCAGTTATTTCCTTCTATATAATCCTTTATATAATCAATCATAAATTAGCTTATAGAATTAGGGCTTGGAGAATATCTCAGTTTATAGTGTTACTACTTAGTTATTTCTCTTTATATAATCCTCTATATATAATCATGTTCATAGAATGAGTGCCTAAAGAAAATCTTACCACTCAGTTATTTCCATATATATATGTGTGTGTGTGTGTGTGTGTGTGTGTGTGTGTGTATGTATATATATGTATATATCTTAGTTCCTAATCGGAGGAATGCCTAGAGTAGACATAGTACAGAGCATGAATTAAGGAATAAGCAGCTTATGGTGAGAGGAATGCCTAGAGCAGACACAGTGCAGAGCATGATTTAAGGGAAAACAGTTATACCAGGACAAGAATCCATGGCCCAGGCGGCAGCATTCAGTATCGTAAAGATACCCGCTGTATGGCAGGCTTGGGTCAAGAGCCACTCTTCCTGATAAAGGAGTTGTAATACCTTGCTCCAGTTCTTGTGGAAGGCTGCCCCCAGACCGGCAATTGCACCTTGGTGACTGTGAACTTTATCAGCTCTT